TGAGCCATGTTTCCATGACATACATTGCATTTACTTGGTTTGGGGTGTCAAACCAAGTGTGGGAATTAAGGAACATTCATACTTCAAGTGATGTAATGTGCCTTAATTCCCGGTCACCGGGGCCTTTGACTTCAACTTGATAAAGCTTTGGTTTTCATTTTGTTGGTTGCATGCATCTTTATATCAAATGGCAAATTTGATTCTTTGAGCCACCATGCACCATTGATGGTTCGAGGATCGAAGGACATGCTTCCTTGAGTCCAAAACATGATAGGAAGTATGACCATGCTTACATGTGCCTGAAAACCCCCATGCCATGCACTGTCTATTCTCTGTTTGCTGTCAAAACTGTCTCTGCAGGAAGTTTCTGCCGACCGGCAGAATTTAATGCCGGCCGGCAATATTTTAAGTGCCGATGAGTCCAAGAACAGCCGGTGGAAATTCTCGGTGGCGATTCTGTCTGGCCGGTGGTGCTCTGCAGGATGCAAAGAGCTTGTCCCAGTATTTTGGCATTTTTCAGAAAGACAAGGCAGTACAAACAGGGGCGACAGGAGTATAGTACGGGTTTTTCGGGCAGGACGGATTCGAGCATGCATCATCTGCGCACCCCGAGGCAGAGGCTGTGACCACCCTCTTCTTTCTTTTGCTTCCTTTCTTTTAATTAATTAGGAAATTTTTGTAATAATTTTATTTATTCTTTATTTTGGGACTGTAATATTAATTCGATCCCTCTGAGTGAGGGTAAACATGTAATAAGTGTGGGTGAGTGTGTGCATGTCTTCCAATCCCCATTTCTTTCTTCCCTTTTATTTACCCGCTTATGATGGTAGATTAGGGCATTTTTTTGAAATTAGCATACCTTATGATGTGCATGCGTGCATTCATACATTTGTTGACATGCACCGGGCTCGATACATCATACTAACCGCATTCGTATTTTCAAATTTCCAAAATTGAATACATGAATCAGTTGGTTGCATATCGTATGTCATATTTAGGTTAATCGAGCCTAGCTAAAATCGCATCTTGTATGTGTTGCATTAAGCAAAATAACATGAACTAGGACACGCATATTTGCTAACTAGTTTATTTGTTTTGGCACGGAGTACAATGTAAGTGGTTATGCTTTGCGTGTGAATGTTGCCATAAAAGTATGCTTGCCATGCGGCTAAGTGTTTGCATGAGATAAATTGCTTGAATGCCTGTGGGTGGAGGTCAAACTGCTTAAATTGGGATAATGCATTAAAACTGTGAATTTTAAAGCCCACTAGATAGTGGCAAAACCTGCATTTCAGCCTACTTGTGAGTAGCAAACCAGTTTTAAAACAAACATGAAATGTTTTTGTTCCAATTTGGGCGATTTGGTCTATACTTATTTGTTGCGCGCACAACATAGTAATTCTAGGCTAATAATTGGTTTAAGAACACATAATGTTTTCAAAATTGGATATCGCGGTCAGTAGAGGCCGGTCTTCGGACCGGGCGAAAGGGGGTGCTCATAGCTGACCTTCCCCGATCGTACCTAAGCTCCCGAGCCGAGACAAACTCCGGTGATGACGGACACGTGGCCTTCGGCACCGAGTCAGGGTTTCCTAAATCCCCCATTTAAAAATATTTAGGTGGCGACTCTGTATCTGGCAAAGCAGTCCATGTTTGGCACTACTTCTTTCAAAAATCTGTTTTCTCAAAACGATTTGCCGGATTTGGACTCTTTGGTTCAGATTTAGAACCGTGACACAAATCGAGTCCGAACTGTAGCATGAGGCCCACGGGCGCGTCTACAGTATGCCATTTCATAGCATTGTGTATGCCAGTTTGTATGTTAGTCGCATTGTGTATGCTCTCTCATTTGCACTGTGTTTGGGATAGGAGTTAGCCCAAGCACGGGAAACAAGGGACGTTTCGTACTCCGAGTGACGGAACGTGTCTCAATTCCCGGTCGCCAGCACTCCGGATTACCCATTATGGAGTTTAGGTCTTGTTGTGTTTATATGTGCATTCATTTCACATCGAGTCGTGCAATTCGACTCCTCGGCCATCATGCATCGAGATGCGTGATTGGTGGCACGAGGATCGAGGACTACACTCCCTGAAGAGTAGTCATGCATACATATGTGAAAATACTTTGTTGTGCCCCTTTCTTGCTCTCTGTTGCAGCAAATCAGAAATCAGCAGCTTTCTAAAGCTTTGCACAGCATTCCGGCATTAATTGCAAATAGAGGCGAATCGGGGCATCGCAATGGATTTCCGCGCAAGGCAACTCGAACATGCATCATTCATCATTCGGAACAGAGATGAGGCGGTCCATAGCTTGCATGCTAATTTATCTGCTTTCCTAGTTGGGTTGTTAATTAATTAGGATTTTGTACTTATTCGGATTGTAATTATTTATTCAGACTGTAATTATTCGTTCGAACTGTATTATTTATTCGGACCCTCCGAGCGAGGGCACAACTGTAATAAGTGTGTGTGCGTGTGATGTATGTCTTCCAACCCCACATCTTTCTCCCTTTTATTTACCAGCTTATGATGGTTAGATTAGGGCATGTTTCAATTAGCATACTTATGCTTGCATGTTTGCATCATTCATCTGTTTTGCATGCACCGGGCTCGACGCATCATACTAACTGCATTTATATCTCAATTCCGAGTTGAATACTTGTTAGCTGTAGCATTTCACATGTCATTTTAGAATAGCCGAGCCTATTGTAGTTGCATTTTTGCATGTGTTGCATTAGGCATTTCTGTACAGTTAGGATTCATGCATGATTTCTAATCAGCTTCTGTTTTGGCTTGGAGTACTCGGTAAGTTTTATGCTTTAGCATCCTTGCATGCGTATGAGTGATTGCCATGATAGCATGCTTACCATGAGGCTATTTGCTTATGTGATATACCTGCCTGAATGCCTGTGGGTGAAGGTTGGATTATTTGGATTGGAACAATTCATCAATTGTGAGTTTTAAGTCCACTTGAGAGTGGCAAATCATCTTGTTTTCTAAGCCCACCCGAGGGTGGCAAAACCTGTATTTTAGCCTACTTGCGAGTAGCAAACCGTTTTTCAAAACAAACATGAGATGTTTTGTTCCAATTCAGGCAATCCGGTCTATATTTGTATGCTTTGCGCATCACGTAGTAAATCTAGGCTAATAACCGGAATAAGAGCACATAATGTTTCTAAAACTCGATATCATGGTTAGTAGAGGCCGATCTTTGATCGGGCGAGCGGGGGTGCTCACGAAGTGGCCTTCCCCAATCGTACCCAAGTTCCCGAGCCGTGGCAACTTTGGTGATGACGGACACGTGGCCTTAGGCAATGAGTCAGGGTTTCCTAAATTTCCCAAAATAAAATATTTAGGTGGCAACTCTGTATCTGGCAAAGTAGTCCATGTTTGGCACTTCTTTCAAAAAATCTATTTTCAAAAACGATTTGCCGGATTTGGACTCTTTGATGATTCATCGGTCTTGCATTGCACTTTGTGAGATTAGACACAGGACCGTGACTTTGAGTCCTGAACTGTAGTGAGCCCATATGAACAGAACACGGGATTGCCTCCCGGGACGTTCGAGGACGTCTACAGATGCCATTGAAAGAATTAACCGTTTAAAGTCGAGGGTGAGAGGAGCAGGGCCGAGTTCGAGGCGGCAAGAGCCACAATGGAAAATGCACAAGCCGAAGGTGAGAAGGAGAGGGCACGGACTGCGGACCAGCTCAGATCCGACGCCGAGAAGAGGGCAAATCCAAGCAAGGAATCAATCAAGTTAGCCAATGAGGCGTTTGCCAAGCTGGAGGCCGAATTGGAAGAGTCAAAGAAGGCTAAGGAAAAAGCCGACTCCGAGGCTACTGTGGCGTTCGAGGCTGGGAAGAGCGCCGCCCTTGAAAACTATGTAGAAGAAGTCCCCAAATTCGAGAATCGGGGATTCAAACATGGCTGGCTCAAAGCCCTTGCTGCTGCTGGAGTGACATTGGCCATGCCAATTCCATACGAGCAAGTGGACGTTGAGCTGCTTGAGTCTGATCCCAAGGATTGATTTGGGAGACATTTTAGTTTTGTTAGGTATTTTCAATGTATGTTCTTGTAAACATGTTTTGTTTTCTTAGTAGACATCTATTTGCTTAGGGTAATCTTCATATATAAAATGTTGACTATGCTGTATTCAATTTATGAATGAATATTTCCCTTGCCTTGCATTATTTCATGTATTTAATTGTTGTTAGCAATGAAGATTACTGTTTTGTTTTTGCTATTTTGGGTAAAACTATTGTTGTCTGTTGTGCGGTAGATAAACGTTCATGTACACTTGCCGATTAGATAACTAAGGGTTAATAAATGTGATCTTGCCGAATATTCATATATACTTGCCGATTAGATAACTAATTGTTAATAAATGTGATCAGATTAATAAATCTGATCTTGCCGAATATCATTAGTTCATGGAGTGGCTGCGGCACAAATCAATCGGCATCGGGCTTAGGTATTTGGCTGATCAGATTAATAAATCTGACCTTGTCCCAGCCAATGTATGAACTCCAAAAGCCGAATATATCTCTTAGATCGAAATGTAGTGACAATGCCGAATATCGGGATGAATCAACAATGCCAAATGTCGGTGGTTGCAGGAGTGCACGTATTGATGAGGTCACCTCGGGAGTGGGGTGCACTCCTG